AATGGTCAGTGTGAGGAATGGTGGGAAGGTGCTGATGGTCAGTGTGAAGAATGATGAGAAGGCTTCAATGGTCAGTATGGGGAATAATGGGAAGGTGCCAATGGTGAATGGGAGCAATGATGGGAAGGTGTCCATGGTCTATGTTAGGAATGATGGGAAGGTGCTGATGGTCAGTGTGAGAAATGATGGGAAGACGAGTCATTGAGTTATGTGGCACAGTAGGAGACCATTCAGGCCTTTAAGTTTAGGATGGCTCTCTGAAGTATAATGGGACAATTATGGAATATTCCAGTCAGAAAGGAGCAGAATATGGATTTCACCTGATCCCTACACACCAGGCCATGACTTTATTTCTTTTTCTACTTTATCCTAAGAGGGTCAGTAATGTTTAACTTTTAACTTTGTTTCTTTATTTCTCTACTTTGTACCTAAGATTTTGTACTTGGGTACCTCTGTAACTAAGATGGCACTGGGAATGGCTTTTCACTGTACTCATGGCCTTCTGAACTTGAGTACACGTGACAATAAATTCTAATTCTAAATCTACTTGTCAAGGAGACCAGTGACAATGATGGGTCAGAACATCATGTTAGCATAGATCACAGCCTGGAAAGAGTCGAGGATTAATTGTAAGAAACGTAAATGGTATTTTTACAGAATTTGATGCTTTATTCACATTTTTTTTTAGGGAATTAAAGGAGAACGGGGTCCCACTGGAATCCCAGGTCCTCAGGGTGTTCCTGGATTTAAAGGTGATAAGGTAAGCAATGGGAATCTGTGCCTCAGCACTCGCTATTAAGGCATACTGTGCTCTCAGTGTGTAAGGAAACCTAACTTCCATCATCATGATTGTACAAACCGAGCTCGTAAGAAGTAAACTCCCTTCCCACTGCTGAATGAAATGTCTGTCTGACTGTGAGCCAGTGCAAAAGTGAACATTTCTGATCCCAGACTTTCTTTCCACCCTTTCTCCAGGGATTCCAAGGGAAAACAGGACCCAAAGGTGGTGTTGTAAGTACCCAACGATTTATAATCAAAGTGTGTGTTTACATCAGTGTCGGTGAATGTATTCTTGGACCTTTCTGTGTGTCAATTTGTGTGTGTTCATATGTGTTTCTCTGCATGTGTGCATGTACTTCTATCTTTTGTGCATGAGTATGTGTGTTAATGTGTTCTTTTTGGGTGCGTCTGTCTTTTTATGTGTGAATTATTTATGTAGTCTAAACGAAAGGAGACCTCAGATACCTAGGATTGAAGGATAGTGGAGCTTGTGGGCAGCAGATGATTAAAAGGGCAAGAACTCCCTTTGCTGTCTAAAAAGCTTTGCTGGTCTATCTGAATTCCTTTTGATAAAGATTCAGATGCAGGTTGTTTACAGTCAATAGCATAACAATATGACTCTTGTTAGCTGGGAATTTCCTTCGTTTTCAGGAAAAATACAGAATTATTTCCAGAAATCAGACTTAGAGAGGTCAAAACTAGAGGTAGGCTTAACTAAGCCTGGAGCTTCTTTTGTTGGTTGCTGTCCTGTGAAAGAAGCAGACTAACTCAAGAAATCAAAGCTGCATTTTTAAAGGCATTTAAAAACATGCAGTTTCAGTAACATGACAGTTGAGACATTCATCCAATGAGGATGTATTGATATCACTCACCAACAACCATTGCGTTCTTTGAGAAGATAACTGCAAGAGGCCCTTAATGCCATCTGATGCATAATGTGTTTCACTGGTTTCCTTTATTCTGAACTGATGAGCGCAGAGATAGAGTCACACAGCACAGAAACAGACCCTTCGGTTCAACCAGTCCACGCCGAACATAATCCCAAACTTAACTAATCCCACCTGCCTGCTCCTGGCCCATATCCCTCCAAACATTTCCTATTCTTGTACTTATCCAAATGTCTTTTAAATGTTGTAATTGTACCTGCATCCACCACTTTGTCAGGAAGTTAATTCCTGCTTTGTGTTAGCTTGACTGGAAGATCTACACATTGAAAGGAGTATAGCATTCCAGGAGGATGATGTACGCTTTTGGCCACTGGTTACTGCTGGTCAGAACTATCCAGGAACTGTGGTCAATTGACATCATGTGATCAGTGGCATCCATGTTGTCAGTCCAGCAAAGTTGCCCATTTTTAAGCAAACATAAGCAAGAGACTACAGTTTTTGAAAAAAAAAAAGAATCTTTCTCTTAATGCCCTTCAGAGCACTAATTATTAAAGGTGTAGTATCATTTATGGAAACAGTGTTTCCACATTTAAGAACAGTGCAAGATAGGTATAGGAGAAATATCATAGTTATATCACCACACAGGGAAGAGCAGCAGGGATAGATCTGCAGGAAAACCTGCTACTCTGAGTGGTAATACAGGAACTGGAGTAGACCACTGAGACTACCCAGCCTTTCAATACAATCATGGTTAATTGAACACTTCAATGCCTTTTCCCCCATCTCATCCTAATAACCCTGTACCCACTAGTAATCTGAAATGTTATCAATCTGTACCATAAGTGTATTCAAAGTCTGAGCTTACAAAGGCCTTTGTGGTAGAGAATTTCAAAGGTTCACAACACTCAGTAAAATAATTTCTCGTCTTGCACCTAATCTTGGACCTAAATGGTATTCTCCTTTTTATTTCAAATTATGACCCTTGGTGCTGGACTCCCCAACCAGGGAAATATCTTACCTGTGTCAACTCTGTATCTGCACCTTTAAGTAATTTGTAGGTTTCAATGAAATCACCATCTCTCATTCTTCAAAACTCTAGAGAATACAGGCCCAGTTTGCCCATTCTTTCTTCAGAGTATAGCCCCACCAGGCCTGGATGTTTTCCCTCTATAAGAATAACATCTTTTCTGAGATAAGGCGTCCTTTCTTAGACATGGGAATTTAAGTTTCTACAAATAGCACTATATCTTTAATACTTAAAACTGCATACAGGACTCCATGTGCAGTCTAACCAAGCTCCCATACAGCTCACGCAAGACTTCATTTCTCCCGTACTCAAATTCTATTGCTATAAAAACTGACATTCCATTAGCCTTCCTACCAGTTTGCTGTATCAGTTAGTCTTTAGTGACTTATCGACCAGAACACCCAGATCCCTTTGTACATATACACTTTCCAACCTTTCACTATTTAAGAAATACACCGCACATCTGTTCCTCATACTGAAGTGGATAACTTCACATTTTTCCACATTATATTCCATCTGTCAAGTTCTTGCCTATTCTTTACGCCTGTCCACATCTTCCTTTACATTTTCCTGACAATACACACTTCCACTTAGCTTTGCATAATCCGTAAATTTAGAAATATTACTTTTGGTCCCCACGTCCAAGTCATCGAATATAGTGAACAGTTGGACCCAAGTATTGATCCTTGTGGTCCCGGACTAATCACAGCCTGCCAATGTGAGAATGACTCAATTATTCCTACTGTTTGTTTTCTATCTATTAGTGAATCATTAATCCATGCCAGTAGATTACCTCCAATTCCATGAGCTTCAATTTTTCTAACCAGCCTCTTGTATGGGGACTTTGTCAAAATCCTTCTGAAAATCTAAGTATACTACACCCAACAGCTCCCCTTTATCAACTTTGTTTGTAACATCTTTACAAAAGTCCAACAAGTTTGTCAAACACAGATAATCATTCACAGATCTATGCTGACTATACCCAATCAGATTATTATCAAACAGGTTTCTGCCAATCCCATCCTTTATAATAGATTCTAACATTTTTCCCTACTTCTAATGTGAGGCTAATAGGTCTGTAGTGCCCTAATTTTCTTGCCCCCTTCTTATATAGTGGGGTGACATTTGCTATCTTCCAATCCACAGGAATCACGTTAGAATCTATACAACTTTGGAAGATAATCACCTATGCATTGAAAGTTTCTCAAGTCCCCTCCTTCAACACTCTGGGGTGAATACCATCAGGTCCTGGGATTTATTGAGTTCTAACCCATTAATTTCTCCAGTACAATCTTCTCACTAACATTAATTACTACAATTCCTCATTCTCTCTATCCACTTGGGCCTGTAGTTGGACCTGGAGATTTCTGGTATCTTCCTCAGTGAAAACAGACGTACAGTCATAATTTAGCTTCTCTGCAATTTCTCTGTACCCCATTATGAATTGTCCTTAATGAACCCACATTTGTTTTTTTATTATATACCCATAGAAGCTTTTTACAATCTGTTGCATATGTTTTTTGCTAGATTGCATTCACATTCTGTTCTCCTCTTACTTATCAGTTTCATGATGCTCCTTTGTTATATTTTATAAACCTCCCAATCTTCAGAATTGCTGCTATTTCTGGCAACTTTGTAGGCCTTTCTTTTTGATCTAATACAATCCTGAACTTCCTTTGTTAAAGATGATTCACTGATTTCTTTTGCGTATTTTCACCTTGAAGGAATGTATCGTTGCTGTAAGTCACGCAATGGTTCTTTAAAGACTATCCATTGCCTATGTACGATCATGTTTTCATGGATTTTCCCAAACTACATAAGTCACTTTGTGCCCTGTGCCTTATTGAAATTTAAAACACCTGCTTCAGAATAAATTATTTCACTTTCAAATATAGAATCTAAAACATTTAAAAATATAAGATTTGTATAGAATTCTACCTGTCTGCTCTGGGAATTACAATCAATAGTTAACTATTGTTGCTGCATCACCTATAGTACATGGACTTCAGTAGATCAAGAAGGCAACTCACCACCACCACCTCAAGAATCATAAAATCATGCAGTAGGTAGCACTGCTGCCTCACAGCGTCAGGGACCCAGGTTCAATTCCACCCTTCCAGACTGTCTGTGTAGAGTTCTCCCTGTGTCTGCATGGGTTTCCTCTGGGTGCTCCGGTTTCCTCCCACAGTCCAAGGATGTGCAGGTTAGGTGGATTGGCCATGCTAAATTGCCCTATAGTGTCCATGAATGTGTAGATTAAGTGGATTAGCCATGGGAAAATGCACAGTTACAGGGATGTGGTGGGGGGGGTTTGGGTCTGGGTGGGCTGCTCTTCAGAGGGTCAGTGTGGACTCGATGGGCCAAATGGCCCACTTCCATTCTCAAGGACAACTTGGGGCAGGCAGTAAATGCTGGCCCAGCCAGCAATGCCGATGTCCTGTGAATGAATTAAAAAAAGTCACTAATGGGCCAATCAATCAGCACCCTTTTCTTCTGGGGTATAAAATGGAGTCTCTTTTATCCAGCCTGTTTTTTTAATGCCTAGTTCAAGACGAAAAGCTTCAACTTCTTCTTTCATTTTAACAATGTTTAAGTCCCTGAAAAAACACAAGCATAAAGCTGACAGTATGTCCTTTCTAGACACAATTACAGAAGGTTGGACTCTATGGATGTGAGAGCTGGATTGTGAAGAAAGAGGATGATGGGAAGACTACAGCTTTTGAAATGTGGGTGTGAGGAAGATGCTCCGAATCAGCTGGATAGACAACAAAACAACTGTGTAGGTTTGGCCAAAGGCAAATGCTCAGGGATCAAAAGGATTAATAATTCCAATTAGAGAGTAGCCATCAACAGACATTGGAATTGAAGACCAAATAGGCTTGCCCTGGCAACAGCTAAAGGAGAAATTAAGGGTAAAAACAGAAGAGAAAGCAGAATATTTGGATTGAGATGCAGACTGAGGAAGTCCTGATAAAAACCAGAGAAATAAGACAGCATCAATGGCACCAATAAGGTGAGAAGAGCAGGTTTCAGACTGACTGGCCTGTAGTTCTGAATGACCTGTTGTCAGGCTGACTGGCCTGTAGTTCCTGGTGACTGTTGTCAGTCTGACCGGGTGTAATTCCTTGTCTTTTCTCTCCCTACTCTCTTGAACAGTAGTGCTGTATTTGCTCCTGTCCAGTCAATGGGATACTTGGGAATTCTGGATGATTAGGACAATGGTCCACTATCTCTGGAGCCACGTCTGTTGAAACCCTAGGGTGGATGTTGTCAGATCCTGGTGGATTTGTCGACTTTTACTGCGGATGGTCTTCATTTCATCCATTTGATGTCAGCTTTATGTAATTCTTGAATTTTACTGGTTGTTTTCATGTCCCTCACGTTCAAACATGATGATTCATTCAGTCAGAATTTGAGCACAATTAGATCAATATCCTGCATCAATGAGCTATTAACTAACTCTGGCTAATTATACACAATTATTATCAGAGATTTGGTACAGAACCAGGCCATTCGATCCAACCACTCGATTATGTTTATGAGCGACTGGAGCCTCCCCTCATCTTTGCTAATCCATTTCAATCATTACAATTCTCTATTCTCACTCAGAGGCTTGTCTAGCTCCCCCTTCAATGTAACCATGTGACTCATTTCAACCATTCCTTGTGGTACTGAGGTCCATACTCTTGTTAGATAACCAAGTGGTTTCCCTCAATCACATACCCTTGTAGATCTCTACCTTGGCTATTCTCCCTATTCTTTTGGTGAAGACATATTATACTGAATTCCCAATTGGATTTCCTGGTGACTGTTTCATATTGATAGTCTCTAGTTATGTTCTTCCCTCAAGAGGAAATATTCTTGCCACATTCACTCAGTGAAGATCTTCTGTTTTTACAAGTACCTCTATGAGGTCACCCTCAGTTGCCTTTTTTCAACAGAGAAGTGACCCAGACTGTCAACCCCTTCCTGTTGGATCATCCTTGTAAATCTTCTTTGTCCATTCTCCAGTGTCTCTGCACCCTGTTTATAAGAACATGACCAGAACTGCACGCAGTATCTAGGTGTGCTGTAACGAAGGTTCAACACAGGTTTAGTAGAGCTTCCCTACTTGTCACTTCTATCCTGAATAAAAGTCAATTATTTGGTTTGTTTTTTGATGGCCTTGTTGACCTGTGCACAGTTTTTAGTGACTGGTTTATTTTGTATCCAAGATCCCTCTGTTCCTCTTTCCCAATGAGACTTGCACCTTCCAAGTAATAAGTGACCTTCTTATTCTTCCTAAACAAAACCTTACCTCTCATTTACCTGTATTAAACCTCATTTTCCATTTTTGTTCATTTTGAAAGTTCTTTACTTTCCTCCTGTAATTTGTTGCTTTCCTTGTCATTATTGACTATCTTCCCAATTTGGTGTTCACATGCGAACTTAGGAATTGTGTTCTGATTCCAAAATCTCAATCATTAAAGTGGATTGTGAACAGCTGTGATCCCAGTGTTGATCCATGTGGAGCACCACTTTGCACCTTCTGACTCTCTGTATAGCTTCCCTTTACTCCCACTATCTCCTTCCTGCCCTGAAGTCAGTGAGCAGTCCGTTCAGTCCTTATCCCTGGCTTTACTTTCTTTAATCATATTCGTTAGTCCATTGTGGAACATCTTATTGAAGGCTTTTTTTGATTACATCTACTGCATTGACATTATCTATTTTCTCTGCTACCTTGTCAAACATAAGTAGGGATGGTCAGGCCTTTACTCATTTATTTATTATCGAATCTAATATGACAGTTTGTTTCTGGAGTACATTGCACCGTGGTGTCAGTTTTCTCCATCTCTATAATCTCCTTAAATCTCACAGACTACCAAGTTACCAAACATTTGAGCATCGCCCATTTTAATTACTCCAATTAAACCTCTCCATCTCTTTATACCTTTTCATACTGATGTGTTGTCTTTCGTCAGTAGTCCTAATATTTTTTTTTGTTACTCGGTGTCAAAATGAAATGGCACGGGATGTTTCCCTGCAGTAAATAAATATATGTTGCTTCTGTTTTCAGATTATGACTGTTTGTGGCTTGATTGGTGTGGGTGGGTGGCTGGGATGTTGTGTGTGTATGTCTGTGGAGGTACATGTTTGTGTGTTTGTGTGTGTGTGTGTGTGTGTGTGTGTGTGTGTGTGTGTGTGTGCATGTCTATGGAGGTGTGTCTTTGCGTGGATGGGTGTGTGAGGGTGTCTTGTGTGTATGCATGTGCGTGTTTGTATGTGTGCGTGTGTATGTCTGTGTGGATGGGTGTATGAGGGTGTCTGTGTGTGTGCATGTACGTATGTGTGTAGCGGAGGGGGTTGGTGTATGGGGTGAGAGAGGGAAGCTGTGACCTTCTTGACCATTGCCCAGTTGCTGAGAATGAGTTGATGTGATTTGTTCTAATTAATATGATTGTTGACATTGCTGACTGTAGGGCGACCCAGGAGTGCAGGGACTGGATGGTGACAAAGGTGAAAAGGTAAGATCCAGAAGTTCCTCTACTTGGATTCAAGACCAAGAGTCAAAGTTTACCGCACAGTTGACCCTCGGTTTAATTGCTTCTAGTTCTGAAATGCTGTTGGTGTTTCCATTCAAACTAACAATTCTTGGCAACCAGACTGCAGTGATGGTGAAATCAGTCTTTCACTCTGGTTGGTGCCCCCTTCTGAATTAATTACAGAATGTTGCAAAGGATGTCTCAAATGTCCCATTGTCCCCCAGGTCATGAATGAGGCAAGAGGTCAGGGTCAGGTCTAGAAACTTCATTTCAGTTTTGAAGGATTTGTTTTTTTATTTTATGTGCCAGGCCAGGCCTCTGTCAGTAGTCCTGTAACCTCAAACTCTCATCCAATGAGAGACACATAATATGGTTTGAAAGGAGTTGTTTTCTATTGTGAATAAGTCCCATGTTAATTGAGGCAGAGGCCAGCAGGGCAGGCTAACAGGAGCCCAGCTCCATTGTGCTACTCAGGGTTAAGCTGAAAGCCTGGTGTTGAGGCCCAGACCCAGGATCCTGGATTCAGCCTGGGGACCCTGCAACAAGCTCAGACCCTGGACCAAAGGCCAGAGTTTTGAAGGGGGCCTACATTCACAGAGAGGAAACCTGCAAGAAAACATTTCTCCTCAAATGCTGTGCTCAGCTGAGCCACTTCTCGAGGACAGGTCTCTGGACGTTGACCTAGCTGTCAATGGTCTCACAAAAACACTCTTTACAGAGAGAAAAGTTGGGATGGATTAGTTAAATCTGATAATGGAGGTTGAGCCCAGGAGACTTCCAGTTTGGTGAACTGTTTGATCTATTTGTTTGGTGCTGGCATGAAGTTGAGTTGTCTGAATTGATTTAACATTCCTCCTCTATCCTCACAGGGAGACTCAGGGGAGCCTGGAGTGAAGGGACAGGTCAGTCTGATTACAGTCCAAAACCTTAGGTCCTCTTCTGTGCACACGTTTTATGTAATGTTAAAATTTACCGTGATGCTTATTTCAGACATGATTATAAAGACTGAGGGGTGGGGCTAGGAGTGCATTTGGATCAGTGTGATGGGGTGGGCTGGCTTTATTAGTCATTACCGACTGACCCACTGGAGCCTGACCTTGCTTTGTTTCCCTGCAGCAAGGTGTACCAGGGGAGCCAGGGTACAGGGGCCCACCTGGTAACCCAGGAGAGCCAGGAGCACAGGGTCGAATGGGATTGCCAGGCCCTCGAGGTCCCAATGGAGAGCGCGGTGTTACTGGATCGACTGGTCGTCAGGGGATCGCTGTAAGTATCTCCGCAGTGTGATATAATCCAGGGGGTCTCATCTTTAGTGGCTGACTAAGGAGAGTGAAGTTCTGTGAACAGACACCGATCCCCACAACACAAAATCTCTTCACATTGTCATCTCCCTGTACTGCTGACTTGTTGAACTGTAGAGAGGGGCATAGTGATTAACTTTACCCGGACAGATAGGTGGAATGGGTGGACATGTAGCAGATGAGTGTCAGTTTTACAATGTTGGATTTCAGTTTCATTCACGAATCTCTTTTTATTTCACTCCTATCTCTTTCACCATTGTAAATGCACTTCTGTCCCGACTATCCTCCCTCTCTGAGTATCACTTTAACATATGAACATGACACACTCACTGATTTTCCTCCTATCTGAAGTGCTCCCTGCAAGAATTCACATATTGATTTGTTAAGCTCCAGCAAATCTCACTTTGAGTGGTCTCCCAGAGACAGATAACAAAACCAACACCCAGTCTCCAGCAACAACATCTATAACTGCTATGTCCTGGGAGTGTTTAATAGAGGAAGCTTTACTCTGTATATAACCCTGTGCTGTATCATGTGAAATCCAACCTTAATGTATTGAAGTTATTTGAAGGAGTAACCTGTGTTGTAGATAAAGACGTATCAGTGAATGCATTACACTTCAATTTTTAGAATGAATTTGAGAAGGTTCCACACTAAAATGTATTGCGGAAAATAAAACCTCATGTTGTAAGGGATAAGGCATTGGCTAATTGGAAGCAGAATGTAGGGAAAAAAGGGTCGTTTTTCAGGCTGGCAAAATGTCATGAGTGGTGTGCCCCAGGGGTTGGTGCAGGGGCCTCAACTCTACAATTTATATAAATGATTTGGGACTGAAGGAATGATAGCTAAATTTGCTGATGACACAAAGTTAGGTGGGAAAATGAATTTTGAAGAGGACATAAGGAATCCCAAAAGGAAATGGGAAATGGGAAAAGTGACTGGGCAAAGATCTGGCAAATGGAGTACAATGTGGAAAAGTGTGGAATTGTCTATTTTGACAAAATGAGTGAAAAATAAACATATTATCTAAGTGGTGAGAGGTTGGAGAGCTCTAAGGTGCAAAGGGATCTGTGTCCAAGTGCATGAATCACAGAAGGTTAGTACGCAGATACAGCAATTAATCAGGAAAGCTAATAAAATGTTATGGTTTAATATGAGCAGAATTGAACGCAAGAGTAGGAAGGTTATGCTTCAGTTATACAGGGCATTGGTGAGACCATACCTGAAACACTGTGTACAGTATTGGTCACAGTACTTATGGAAAGATGTTAATGTATTGGATATAGTTCAGAGAAGGTTAACTAAACTAATACCTGGAATGTGATAGTTGCCTTATGAGGAAAGGCTGGACAGGCTAGGCCTGTATCCTCTGGAGTTTAGAAAAGTCAGAGATGACTTAATTGAAACTTATTTGCATGGGCTAGAGTAGAGCACCCCCCCCCTCCCCCAAACCCCAAAAAGGAGAGAGAGAGAGAAAAACAATACAAGATGGCAGTGGAGTAGGATCTTCAGCTGGAGCTCATCCACTCTGCCCATTCTTCTTCCTCTTTTCTTTTTCTTTTCTCTCGTTTTCTTCCTTTTAGTGCTTTTCTCATTCTCCTTCTTTTCTTTCTTCTTTCTGACTCCTGGCTTCTGGCAATGATTCCCAGCCCCCAGTGACAACTTGCGGCTGCCAGCGAGCAATGATTCCTGGCGTGCTGTAACAGCCTCCTAACCTGGTACAGTGTCCTCCTGGTGTGGTGTGGTGACTTCCTGCAGTGGGCTCCTGCAGAGGCTCATGCCTCTCGGCATGGTGTGTCGCCAGCGCGGTGTGGTGCCAGTGCCTGGTACAGACTGGACACTAGGTGCCAGCGTGGTCTGCTGTACTGAACTTTTATTTCTGTAATGCTGGGCATTTTAATTTCTGTGCTGAATAAATCTTGTAACTAAAGAAGCTGTGCCTAGGTACTTCTGTATCTATGTCAGCACTGTAATTGGCAATGTATAAACTTTACACTATACTCATTAAGCATATGTGATACTAAAGGCTATTCTAGTCTATTCATAAGATCCTGAGAGGTCTTAACTGAGTGGATGTGGAAAGGATGTTTCCCCTTGTGGGACAATCTACAACTAGGGGTCCCATTTAAAAGTAGTGGGGAGCCCATTTAAAACAGAGATGAGGAAACCATTTTTTTCCTCAGTTGGTTGTGGGTCTTTGGAATTCCCTTTCTGAAAAAGACAAATGGATACAGAACTTTTAAGTACTTTTAAGGCAGAGGTAGATAAATTCTTGATTATAAGTGAATGATAAAAGGAACTCAGGGATATGCGGGAATGTGGAGTTGTGGTTAAAATCTTACTGAATAGCAGAGCAGACTCGAAGGGGCAAGTTGCCTGCTGTTGTTCCTTGTTTGTATGTACAGAGATACAGTATTGCAAGGAACCAGAACCTGAAGGCTTAAAATGTCATTCACTACTGGACAACATTTAACAGAAGTTAGAACTGCAACTATACTGCAACAATAAAGAGTTAAAAAGACTGGCAAAGAAATTGCTGTAATATTGCTATGATACAGAGTCTGGAAAAGCTTAGAGTAACAGAACTAAAAACAACATTTATGCATGCAAGAACACAGGCTTAAAGTGCTGAGAGCCACTGTTAGTAGTGTAGAACAGAAAGATCTCAATTTGGTAAAGCTTCGCTGCACACACTCTTTGGCAGGAACATCCTTCCTCAATTAAGAACAACATTTAAAAGATGTTAGAACTGGCACAATAAACTGTTAAACAGACAGGCAAAGACAATGCTCTATCATGACAAAGAAATTGTAAAATTGTAGGTCACTTTCAGAGGAGAGGTAAGACGCAGTTTTAGAACAGTGGAAACACTGATGATCTCTCAAACATGCATGATTCAAAAGAGTAGAGCAAGACCACAATTAAGAAAATTGCTTTCAGTGAGATACTGCTGGTAGGTTAGCAGAGACTTTTCTAAGAAACATTACTGTTTTGTGATTTAATGATTCAATTTTAATAGAGCTTATTTGCATCCACTAAATGCATTACCTTAAAATTTGCAGATGACATGAAGCTGGAGAAAAGAGAGAGCTGTGAGCAGGATGCAGAGATGAGTTTTGGACAGGCTGAGTGAGTGGCCGATGCAGTATAATGTGGATAAATGGGAGACAGCAAAAATGGAAGTCAGATTAGTATTTGAATGGCTGTGAATTGAAAGAGGAGACTGTTCAGTGAGACCTGTGTGTCCTTGTGCACTGGTCACTGAAAGTAACTGTGCAGGTGCAGCAGGCAGTAAAGAAAGCCAACTGTATGTGGCCAAGTGAGAGGATTAAAGTACAGGAACAAGGATGTCTTACTGCAATTATGCAGGGCCTTGGTGAGGTCGCACCTGGAGTATTGTATGCCATTTTGGTCTCCTTATCTGACAAAGGGTGTTCTTGCTGTAGAGGGAGTGCAGCAAAAATTTACCAAATTGATTCCTGGGATGGCAGGACTGACATATGAGTAGAGATTGAGTCGGCTAGGACTGTATTCACTGGCGTTTAGAAGAACAAGGGAGGTCCTCATAGAAACTTATAAAATTCTAACAGAACTGGACAGATTAGGTGCAGGAAGGATGTTCCTGATGGAGGAGGAGTCCAGAACCAGGGTCATGGTTTAAGAATAAGGGGTAAACCTTTTAGGACACATGTGAGGAGAAATTTTTTGCCCAGAGAGTGGTGACTCTGTGGAATTCACTACCACAGAAAGTGATTGAGGTGTTTTCAAGAAGGTGGTAGATATCACTCTTGTAGCTAAAGGGCTATAGAGAAAGAGCAGGATTAGGTGACTGAGTTGGATGATCAGCCTTGATGATGTTGAATGATGGAGCAGGCTCAAGGAATCAAATGGCCGATTCCTGTTCCTGTCTTTTCTGTTCCTATGTTTCTGTGGACATATGGTCAATTTTAAGCTGAATACAGGAAAGAACATCACTGTCCTGGGAGATCAGGTACCATGGCTGATGAAACAGAAGTTGCAACTTAACAAAGATGAACCTGCATGCTCTATAAGGAACAGCTCCAAATTGTAAAGGTCTGCTGCAAATAATGCTGTATCACAAACAGTGTATGAGAGTTGAAATTGTGTTGGCGTGGTTCAGGGTCAACACCCCTCACTTCTGAACCTACTGCATGTCTTTGCCTCAACATCCTTGTGGTAGCAGGAGTTCATATAGAGTCAAGTTAACTGGCTCAGAAACAAACTGTTGTCGACAAGCCAGTCACAGAGAAGCTTCCATTGGCTTTCCTAGACTAATTCAAACAGAAGGAAGAATCTTGTGAAATTTCACGGGAGAGTTGCTTATTATTGCCAACAGGAAAGAAATCACAGACTTTACAGGAGTTGTGAAAATGCTCTGTACCCCGTTAGTCAGTGCTGACGACAAAGATCGTGTTGAGCAAGCAGCAATCTTCCTGCATGACAACTCAGACAAGTCTGGTTCAGCAGTCAAACAACCAAAGAAAGCAACTGAAAACCTCCAACCTATGCAGCAAGTTGAAGTAGGAAACTTGCCTACTTCAATGCAGATGTCTTTCAGATTGAAAGTAAGGATTTATTTGAAATAAATGGAGATGAGCTTCATGTGACTTCATGGAAGCCAGACCAACATCTACAGATTCAAGACAATGAAAATGAAAACAACCTCTCTCTCAATATCGGCAAAACTAAAGAACTGATCATTGGCTTCAGAAAGAAAGGAGGAGGACACACGCCCATCTACATCAATGGAACTGAGTGGAACTTGAGACAGTGAAGAGTGTCAAATACCTCGGAGTGACGATAACTGACAACCTGTCCTGGAATTCCCACGTAAATGTGACAGTCAAGAAGGCACAACAACGCCTCTTCTTCCTCAGGCGGCTCAGGAAATTTGGCATGTCCATTACATCCCTCACCAATGCCTACAGACGCACCATTGAAAGCATACTGTCCGGGTGCATAACAGCCTGGTATGGCAACTGCTCTGCCCAGGAACCTAAGAAACTACAGAAGGCAGTGTGCACAGCCCAGACCATCACGGAAACCAGCCTTCCATCCATGGACTCTATTTACATGGCTCACTGCTGCGGAAAGGCGACCAACATCATCAAAGACCCATCGCACCTTGGTAATGACCTCCTACAGCCTCTTCCATCAGGCAGAAGATACAGAAGCCTGAACAAACGTACAAGCAGGTTCAGGAACAGATTCTTTCCTGGTTATTATTAGACTGATGAATGGACTGTTCCAAGCCTCAAATAATGCTGATCTTGTTAATGTTGATCTCACCTAGGGCATGCCCTGTGCAATGTAACCTGTATGCCTCTGTGTAAGTTTTTTTGATCTGTATGGCCTTGCTTACTATGATCTGCCTGTACTGCTCGTAAACAAAGCTTTTCACTGTACTTTGGTACAGGTGACAATAAATCAATAAATCAATCAATCAATCAACATGGGCAAAACAAATTGCCTAATCTAGAAATCCAGGATATTGCAAGGAAAGGAGTCCATGCTTCAACAGAACAGCTGTCTCCAATGAAGGACGTTCACAAGAATGAAGAACCCTCAGATAATGGCATGGGACATCTGTCTGAGTTAGCAGGGAAGAGCTCCTCTGCAAGCGAAATTCAAGAAGTTCAGGATCCTCCAGTTTAAGTAAATGGCCCAATGACTCAATCGACCAGAAACAGCATCGTCCATGAATGAAATCAAAGAGATACAAGATTCTCCCATGGAGAAATCATACTCAGACCAGGGTCATAGTCCACAGATCTCAAGCGGAAGACCTGATGTTCTTCCAAATCTCAAGGAAGTAATCTGAAACATCCAGACTGCCTACATTTGTGCAAACATAAGCATATGGCATGTTGGGAGGAGTGAGGGAGTTGGGATGGTTTTAAATGTAATCTTGTTATAGATATAGATGTACAATGGTGTGGGGAAAATGCTCAAGAGTGTGAGGGTTTGGTATAATGCAAAGGTGCTCACAATGTTAATGTCAATGTTACATTGAGTTCCACCTAGTCTGCTGATGTCATATGATCTGTGGGTGCAGACGGTTGATATAAGCTTGAGTACCCAAGAGGGGGACGATGGCTCAGTGATTAGCACTGCTGCCTCACAGCACCAGGGACCTGGGTTTGATTTCAGCGTCGGGCGACTGTCTGTGTGGAGTTTGCATGTTTTCCCCGTGTCTGTGTGGGTTTCTTCCCTGTGTTCCAGTTTCCTTCCAAAGATGTGCAGGTAAAGTAATTAGGGCTGTGCTAAATTGCAAAATGTGTCCAGGGATGTGCAGGCTAACTAAGTTGATTAGCCATGGGAAATGCAGGGTTATGGGGATAGGGTAGTGGGATGCTCTTCAGAGGGTCAGTGTGGACTCGATGGGCCAAATTGCCTGCTTATACACTGTAGGGATTCTATGAGGAGCAGATGTATTCTACACAGCCCCTGAGAGTCTAAGAACTATAGCCAGCACATTAATGTAAACCATACCTATTGCGAACAGCAATAAACTACCTTGTTATCTCAGACTAGTGACTCTGATCTGGTCTCTCCTCCACCATTGATAATTAGACCAGCTTGAGACTAAGCATAGGCAACTGACAGTGAACTCTCCAAACCAGAATACTACAGCATCAGCCCCAGCCTACTCCTGATATCACCACTCTCTTGCCCCGACTCATCCCCATTGACAACCTGACTACCTCCCCCAACATGTCCTAAATCTCCTTCCCAAAGTGCCAAACCCCACCCTCAAGCCAATCACTCCGCTGTTACCCCAGGAAAACACCAACTAACCCCCGAACCTTAGCAAAACACTAACTACCCCCTCGAATCCCAACAAAACACCAACTACCCCCAGAACCCCAGCAAAGCACCATTTACCCCATTTATCCCATTTACCTAACCTGGCTACATTACTAACCACCTAACGACACCAGCCTAACCTGATGTGATTACCTCCCTATCTCACCTCACTCCTGTACCTACCCATTCACCCCGTTACAGTTTGCTAACTCACACTCATCCCTTATATACTTAAACCTTTGAATACGAACCTGAATATGACAACTTGTTTCACCCAACTGTACTGCACTGGCTAGGGGTGCTGCACTGACCATTTGGGGATCAAAACATCCAGTGGGAGTGGGTATCAATGTTGGCTTAGGAATATCTCCCTGGGCAGAGAGCACATATCCAATATTCTGAGTGATCCATGTGGATGCACTGTCATTGATGGCCACAGAGGGAGATGCTGAGCTTGTTGATGATCCAGTGTGCCAACAGTGCCACTAGCAGACCGAATGAGGTACTGCGAGCCTTACTGACATGGAATCAATCCAGCAAGGTGCAACCTTGTTCCTTCCAAAATCCAAAGCCTCTGGGAAGGTGCTCCTAATTATATATCAGGTAAAGATAAAAATTGAGGAATGTGCTCTTCTTTTCTGCAATAAAGAATTTAAAGGGCTGTGTGTGAACCCTGCCAATGGTCAAGATCGCATTCTGCTCAGTCCAGGAATTTGAGGCTGTCACCTTATCTATTCATCATTCTTTCCACAGGGGCGTGATGCAGGGGATCAGCATATTGTTGAAGTTGTCTTGAAAATGATGCAAGGTCAGTGCTGAGAGAGACTTCAGTCCTAAAAACTTTTTACAAAAAGACACTGTGTATTACTGGGCAGACTCAAATATTACTGTGTATGTCAGAATATCTGTTTGTGAGTGTATCACTGTCAAAGATGGTTTGTGTGTTTCATTGCAAGACATGTGTGTGTGTCAGTGACACAATGTGTGCTTATGTGTGTTTTCACTGTCAAAGTCATGTTTTCACTGTCACTGTACGTGTGAGTTCATTCATGTCGGTATGTGTCATTGTCAGTGTGTGTGTGTCTCTTTCTGTCCGTCTGCGTCATTATTAGTAAGTGTTTGTGTGTGTGTGTGTGTGTGTGTGTGTGTGTGTGTGTGTGTGTGTGTTTTGTTTAATTCTAACTCTCTTGCCTTTAATTCTTCATTTGTCCTATTATTGCAGCCACGCTTTTACTTTCGTCTAGCTGCCTGAATTCTTGATTATGCCATTCCTCTCTCTCCCCTGTCTGTTACCCTGGTTCAACTCTCATCTGCACACCTTTTAATCCTATGAACCCCGACCTGAAAGGATTTAGGCAATCACCACCAAATCTGCTTGGAATTCTTCAAGCATAATCAGCTCCTGCTCTGGTCAGCTAAAACCAGCCCAGAATTGTTCACCCCGGGCTCTTGGTCTATACTTCCAGCCGTCTTCTTAAACTCTGCTCCCATGTCCCGTCCACTTCCACCTCCACCGGTAACTGCAGCCTTGGTTGTGAAGGTGGAACCCATCCAATCAGCTAGCTTTTCTGCATCCCTTCCTTCTATTTGGTGAAACTTCTGTAAAGATCCCCTGAGCTCACTCTGTTCTGTAGTTTTATTCCTCATTCCCATTGTGTTCTCTCCAAGTGCACTGGATCCATGAGGCCCACCTCCTGCTTTCTCAATCCCATTCCCACTAAGCTCCCCTCCTAGTCCCCCATGTAGCTGATGTTGTTAACACGTCTTTAGCTGATGTTTCTCTTTTCTCCAGAAAACAATCCATGTCCTGTCCACCCTGACAAACATGTGTCCGATCTCCAACCTTCCTTTCTTCACCAAAGTCTGTCAAATCCATTCCCACCTTTCCTGGAAGCCCAGGGTTGAATCTCTCCAATCAGGTTTCCAGTCCTGCCACAGTATTTGAAACAGCTGTTCTCAAGATGACACCTTACTGTCTCCAGCTGTGGCTGACATTCGTTCCTGGAATATCCTTCTCGACCTGCCTTTGACATTGGTGACCACACCATCCTTCTCTGGTCTCTGTCCAGTGGCTGGGGGAAGACCTGCTCTTTGCTGGTGCCATTCGTATTTGTCTCATCGTAGTTAGAGAATCACCAGCAAAGACTTCAATTGCTGTTATTGTTCCTGTATCAGCCCTTGTCCCCTCTTCCTTCTCATCTTTTGTCTACACCTGTAACTGAAGGCACAGTGTTAGACTTCCCAGTTACTCTGACCATCCCCTGCTGTACCTCACTACCACCTCTCCTCACTCGTGTCCTGTTTTTGTATGGTCACATTGTTTATCCACCCTCCCGTACTGGATTTAATTTATTTGTTCCTGGTTTGGAAATGGTGTATTATTGTA